AGGTCGGCACAGCCACTCCTTCTGCTTGAGGCTTCCCCCCCTCTGACCCCACACCTTGTCCTGCATAATGTCCCTTTGTGGGGACCAGCCCCTCCTGACCACATGCCCAAAGCGTATGAGAGGAGCTTTCACTATCTTTGCCTTGAAGAAGCCCCCTTGGCTGCACTTGTTAGCAAAAAAAGAGTACTGAGGTCCAGAGAATTTAAATCGCTTATCTCAAGTTAAGCATCCCTTAGACAACAGAACCAGAACTAAATTCCGTTTTCTTTAATGTCTTCTGTTGATTTTTCAAGCTGTTCTGTTTTTCTAGTGTTCTTAAAAAAAGATGTGAGCCAGCATTTAGAGATCTGACCAATGCAAACTGTAGAACCTATTATATTTCCTGATGATCAAGTCAACTGTGACTCACGGCAACCCTGGGAACCTCAGATCTGAACCTTACCCTCTATCCTGTGCCAGGCTCAATACCATTGTTACAGTCATTGTGTCAGTCTGTCTCCAGAGTTTTCTTCTCTTTCACTGACCCTCCACCTTTCACGCTGTGCTGGATTTTCCAAGGACTGGCCCCTCCTGAAAACATGGCCAAAATGTGTGAAATGAATTTTTCCCGTCCTTGCATCTAAAGACCACTCTGGGTGAACTTCCACTAAGCTAGACTTGTTTGTTCTTTTGGCTGTCCGTAGGATATTCTGTACTTTTTTCCATCATTACAACTCAAAGGTGTTGATTGTTTTTCTGTTAACTTTATTAATTTTCTCACTTTCAGATGCATATGAAGTAACTGGCCATACTGTGTCTTTAAAATGATATCTGTGCTCTCTAGCACTTTGGAGAGGTCCTTGACAGCATATTTTCCCAATGCAATATGTCTTTTGATTTCTTGACTGTTTGTCACCATAGATACTGGTTTTGAATCCAAGTAAAATTAAATCATTGACAACTTCAATTTTTCTCCATCTGTTATGATGTTGACTATAGATCTTTTCAGTAAATATTTCAGGTCCTCAACACTCTTCACCCAGCAAGTTTGTGGCATCTGTATAATGCAAGTGAATTGTCCTCCAATCCTGATACAACATTTTTTTTCATTTTGTCCATATTTTCAATGATATGGTCAGTATACAGATTGAAAAGATCTGGAGAAAGGCTCTGATCCTGATATATACCTTACCTCATATTCACCATGCAGTATTCCCTTGTTTTGTTGAAAAACAGCTTCTTGGTCTGTGCATAGGTTTCACACAGTTAAGTGTCACAGGATTCCCATTCTTCTTAGTCTTATCCATAATTTGTTATGACTCACACTGTTAAATGCTTTTGTCATAGTTAATAAAACACTGATAAAGCTCTTTGCAATATTCAGCTAAGATCCATCTGACACTGGCAGTGATTTCCTTTGTGCCAGAAACTCTTCTGGATCTAGCTGGAATTTTTGACAGTTCTCTTTCAATGTACTATTCCAGTTGGTTTTGAATAGTTTTCAGCAAGCTTTTACTTGCATATGATATTAATGATATTTTTAAATAATTTCCACATTCTGTTGGATCATCTGTTTCTGTAATGGGAACAAATATGGCTTTTTCTAGTCATTTGGCCAGGTAGTTGTCTTCTAAATAACATAAATTAGTGAGCATGTTCGTGGATGCATCTATTCAAACATGTCAATTGGCAGTCCATCAATTTTTATGACCTTGTGTTTTGGTCAGTTCCTTTAGTGCAGCTTGAACTTCTTTCTTCATTACTGTTGGTTCTGGGTCCTAGATAAGAGGCTAGCTCAATTATTTTTGGTATAGTGACTATGTTTATTCCTTTTATCTTCTTTTGATGTATCCTGCACATTCACTTGACCATCTTCCTTGTTGCTGAAGTCTGCTTCAAGGTCGAAGTCTCCCCATTCAGAAGAGAGGCAACTTGACCGTCTTCCTTCATCATGACAAAATATAAGGTCCCAGGAATCAATGGGATACCAGTTGACATGCTTCAACTAACAGATGAAGCCCTGGACATGTGCACTAATCTCAGCTAAGAAATTTGGAGGACAGCTGCCTGGCTGATATATTGGAAACGATCTGTGTTTGTTCCCCTTCTCCAGAAAGGTGATCTAACCAAATGTGGAAATTATCAAACAATATCATTCTGAGGCTCCGTCTAACATACTTTGGACATGTTGTAAGGAGAGACCGGTCCTTGGAGAAGGCCATCATGCTTGGAAGGGTGGAGGGACAGCGCAAGAGGAGAAGGCCCTCTGTGAGGTGGATTGATTCAGTGACTGGGTTAATCGGTATGTGAGTGTCAGAGACAGTGCAATTGGCACAGGGCAGAGCAGAGTTTAGGGCTGTTGTACATAGAGTCGCTACGAGTTGCAAGTGACTAAATGGCACATAACAACAACAACATCATCATTAATATTACATGCAAGCAAAATATTTCTGAAGATCATTAAAAAAATGACTGGAATGGTACATTTACTGAGAACTGCCAGAAGTTCAAGTTGGATTTAGAAGAGGCCATAGAACCAGACATATCATGGCTAATGTCACATGGATCCTGACTGAAAGGAGAGAATATCAGAAGAATGTCCATTTGTGTTTTATTGCCTATACAAAGACATTTTACTATGTAGATTATAACAAACAATGGCTAACTTTGAGAAGAATAGGAATCCCAGAACACTTAATTATGCTCATACATACACTATACTCGACCAAGAGATTATTGTCCTAACAGAGCAAGGAAACACTGCATGGTTTAAAATCAGGAAGGGTATGCATCAGGATTTTAGACTTTCTCCATACCTATTCAAGTCTATATGCTGTGCAAATCATTTGAGAAGCTGGGCTCTATGAAGAGGAATATGGCATTAGTTTGAGAGGCAGACTCATTAATAACCTCCACTGTCAGAATAACACAGCCTTGCTTGCTGAAATTGAGGACTTTAAACACTTGTGAAAGAAGATCAGAGACTTCAATCTGGATTACATCTCAACATCAAGAAGACAATCATCCTCACCACTAGACCAATAAGGAGCATTATGGTAGATGGAGAAACAGTTAAAATTTTCATTGATTTCATCTGCTTGGATCCGCAGTCAAATATGTTGGCACCAGCAGTCCAGAGATCATGAGGCATTCTGCATTGGGCAAGTCTGTTGTTAGGGACCTGACCAAATTACTGAGGAACAATGATGTCAGTTTTGAAGACTAAAATGTGCCTGGTTCAGGCCATGGTCTGCTCAGTCACTTACTATGCATCTGAAAGCTGGACGATCAGTAAGGATGACAGAAGAATTCATGTCTTTGAGTGGTGGTGTGGTAGAAGAGTCCTGAATATCCCATGGATTGCCAGAGGAACAAACATGTTTTTGAAAAAGTGTGCCTTGGAGGCAAGGATGGTGAAGTGTTTATCACTTCTACTTTGGGCATAATTCTAGGAGAAGCTGTTCCTTGGAGAGGGATATCATGCTTGAAAGATAGAAGAAAGTCAATGTAAGAGAGGGTGAACATCAGTGAAATTTTTTTTTTTAAATTTAGGTTGTTTATTTTTCATTTCAATGAACATCTACAGAGATTTTGGGATTCCATTCATTCATTGTTGCACCCTTCTCCCCGCACAAACCCCTCCCTCCTCCCCACCCCCATTTGCTCCTCTCCTTGAAAGAAAAACTCCCTCATTGGTACACAATCCCCCCCAGTGAAATGTTTTAACACTGTGACTGCAGCAGCACTGTGACTACAGCAATGGGCTCAAGTGTGTCAGAGAAGATGAGGATGGGACAAGGTTCATATCTCTTGTTCTTGGGTCGCTATGAGTTATACTTGACTCTACAGCATCGTTTAAGAGTTTTACATATAATCCTTCAGTATGGATATTTGAGGCTTCAGTTTGTTCTTCAGTTCTGTCAGCTTGAGAAGTACTGACTGAGTTCTTCCTTTTTAGTTTTCTAACTCCATCTCTTTGCATATTTCATTGTAATACTTTGTCTTCTCAAGCTGCTCTTTGACAGCTTCTGTTAATCTCCTTTTCTTTAGCAGTTCTTGGTTTTCTTTTGGCCTCTCTACATTTTATTGCCATTTTCCGAATCTCTTCTGACATCCATTTTTGTCTTTTCTTTCTCTTCTGCCTTTGCAGTAATCGTTTGCTTTGCTCGTGGATGTTATCTTTGAACAGCTAATATGGTCTTTTATCAGTAGTGTTTAATGCATCAAATGTATTCTTGAGATGGTTTTTAAATTCAGGAGGGACAGACTCAGGGTCATAGTTGGGGTCTTGTGGACTTTTAAAAATTTTCATCAACTGCAAATTGAACTTGCACTTAAGTAATTAATGATCTATTCCACAGTCAGCCCCTGGACAACTCTGTAGACATTGACAATGTTGACATCATAGTTTCAGCGGTGCTTTCTAATAATAGTGTCATCAGGCTCATTGTCTTGCTATTTTCACAGAACTGTTATTTAGTGGAAAAACCTGAAGTCTTTTACTTGAACTGTACTACTTCTATTTAATTTGTTCCTTAAATGATCAATTCTAAATGGAGGACTTAACATATACCTTTTAAATTAATCTTCTTTTATTTAAAAGCCAAAATATCAAGCCCTTTGCCCTTGAGTCAATTTTGACTTGTAATACTTTATAGGACAGATAAGAACTCTTACAGAAAAAAAGTGCAACAGTGAATGAATAGAAATCCAAAATCTCTGTAAATGTTCATTGAAATTAATTTGAAAAAATAAAAAACTCTTACAGAGTTTGCATGACAAAGACCACATATAATCTCTATGTTCTCAGAGTGATATATACAATCTAGTATATCATTCAATTTTATCTTTATAAGTTGTCATTTGTTATAAAAATGAATTGTTGAACATGTTTTTTATGGCTTATGACCGGCTTTTTCTCATATTTTTTAGATTTTATAGCTCTTTTTATTTTGAAGATCATTCTAATAAAGATGATTTATTTTGAATTTTTTTACATTTTTAGGTCAGTGCTGCTGGATATGCGGCGATCTGTAGCACCAAGTCAGTTGCAGGGGAATCCCTTGAAAAAGCCAAAATTTATACCACCCGGAAGAAATAATTCAAGTCAGAGTGAAGAGATTGCAAAACTGAGTCCAGATCAAAAATTATTTGAGGTAAAAAAAAAAATTACTTATCCTTAACCATTGCTGCTGGGAGTGCAAAATTATATAACCATTTTGTAAAACAATGTGGCTGTTCCTCATAAAAGGAAAAAAGAATATAACATATTACATAACAATACCATTTCTAGGTAAATAGCCAAAAGTCTTGAAAACAGAAATTAAAGGAGGCTTGCATGTGAATGTTCATTGCAGCACTAGTACTTCTAGTCCAACAGTGAAAACAAATATATTGCCTATCAGTAGATGGATGGATACAGATGCGATGGAGTACGGTTCAACCGTTAGTAAAAATGAAGTCTTGATACATGCTTGTGCAGGGGTGGCGTTTGAAGACATGCTGAGTGAAATAAGCAAATCGCAAAAGGATAAATATTATATGACTTTACTTTTCTAAAAAGATAAGGCAATAGAGTTGCACAATTAGATGGGTGGAGGGCGATTTGGGTAAGGGAATTTTGGGAAGTGGGAATGATCCAGTGTGAAAATCAATGTATATGAACTTTGTAAGTAAATCAGTATAAAATAAAAATTTATTTAAAAAGAAAGATAAGGCAAATATATAGAGATAAAAGTTTATTAGTAGTTAAGAACAGGAGGAGGATGAAAGTGGTGGAATAATTACATTGATTAAGAAGAGTATGGTTGCACAGCCAGTTTTATAGTAAATGATGTTAATAAATGAATTAGTAAAGGTTGTGTGATGTATTTACAGCAAACTTAGAAAAAGAGTAGTTGCTGAGGCTGTTTATATGGAACCAAACACCTTGTGGGATCTGATATCTTGGTTTAGAAATTTAGGGTTAGGATTTCATGAGACATCCTAGTTAATTGGTCTGATAAGGTGTTTAGTGCTTTTATGATTACCTCTAGTTCTTTGGATAGTGCCGGGGCTCTTAAAATCTTTTAAGTGGGTGTCTAAGAGGATGATGGATCTCTGCTAGCTTGGAACAAGAAACAACAGAAGAAGGAAAGTCATGAGTAAGAAAAGAATATGGAATGTGTAACTAATTATCTCCTTGAATACCTGCCTCCTTTGTTAGGAGCCTAAAAGAACTGGATGGTACTTCACTGCTATCACTGAATGTTTTAATCAAATATTATATAGAACGCTGATCAAAAGGGGAGAGATTCAAGATAAAATTGATAATTGTCATGGCCTCTAGAGTTTCTGCAGCTACGAAGGGTGGGTGAACTCTAGAAACTGCTACACAAAGATTATCTTTAAATGTAAACCGAAAATATTTCCTGAAGTGTTTTTAAAACCAAACGATATTCACAGTAGATGAGTCCATTCTGACTCCAAGTTAATGTCAATCTAACATCCAAAGCTGTAAATTGTAATTGGGGGAGATTGCCCATCTTTCCCCTGAATCACTGACCACTGGTAGATTCAAATTACTGGAGACTCAGGGCCTTTGGGATTATGCTGACAGCTTCCTAAACCAAACACAAGTTTACCTTAACTAGATAAAGAGGCCTGCCTTTAGCATTATGCTCTTTTAAGAACAATGTGGGATTAAATTGACAACAGCAATTTAAAAGTTTAGATAGAAAATTTAGGGGGCCATTTATGTTAATAAAATAAAAACTCAGAAAAGGATGAGAATAGTTGCATGATTTGAAGAATGTAGTCAGTGTTTCTAACGTGTATGCTTTGAAATATTGGTAATGTTTGTTCTTTGTATATTCTCAAAGAGAAAAACGAAATAATATTTTTTTTAAAGTATAGGAAGCATAATACACGGAAACAGAGATTTTTAAAAAATTCCACTGAAAGAGTTGCAATCTCACTGTTTTTTATGTACCATCAAGTTGGAAACAACTCATAGCTGACCCTCCAGTGGGTTTTCAGATGCAGTAATAGCATGAAGGGAGACTGCCTGTCCTTTTCCTTAAAGCAACTGGTGAATTCGAACTATGTGTCTTTGGGTTTGCAGCACAACTTCTAAGCCACTATAGCTCCCTAATTGCATCTTGTTGTGTACCTTCGAGTTGGAACTGACCCTCCAGCAGGTTTTCAGAGGCAGAAATTGCATGGGAGTGCCACCCTTATCACGTGGAACAGTTGAAGAAGGATGGGAGATTTCCTCCCATGTATTTCATATTTCTGAAAGCCCAGTGGAGGGTCAGCTGAGTCGGTTCCAACCTGACAGCAGTGAATTTTCTCTTTTGAAGTACCTTCACAGTGTTGGACATGCTTCAACCACTAATATTTTAGAGCCTGCTTTTTATTTTTTTAGCACTTAAACGGGGGCTCGTACATTTTAGAGGTTATAAACTAAATAACTAAAGTTATCACATAAATAAATGTAAACTTCTTTATATGTTGTGACTTAAAGAGAAAAATATGCCCACTCCTCACTGACATGATTAGATTCCAAAGACCGGGTCTTTATGCAAGAATCAATGTTGTAAGAAATTTGAGGATTATTTTCTCTCTGTTTTCAGAACATCCATTTGTCTGATTTTAAAAAATTATTATTTAAAAATTTCTTATTGTTCTTAGGTGCCATTGAGTCACTGAGTGAGAGCAGTTCTGCTGACACCTTTATTTTCACCCACTGATACTCTTGTTGGACTACTAACTTGCAGAATTGTGAAATGTTTACATTGTTTCAGGCCACTAAGTTTGACATTATTATTGCATCATTTAAAAAATACAAAACCAGAGAAGACTGTTACCAGCTCCCATGTATCCACCATTTTAGCTTTAGCTATTGACCAGTCAGTGACCTCATGACCAATATTGTTTTATCTGCCTAACTCCCTTCTTAGTCCCTTCTCTACATGCTATTTTTTTAAAATTTTATTTTACAAAATTCAAATACAATGTTTTTTAAGACCAGATTCTTCCAATTTTCCTCACCCTCCCACTCATCAAATTATATAACCCCATGATTAAAACACATCTTCATCCCTCTGCTTCCACCCTCCTCCCGCCCACCTTGGATCTTCATACTCATTCTACAATAATGGTTTTATACAGTATTTATCCTTGTGGGAATGAGTTAGTTCACTCAGCATAAAGCTCTCCAGTCCCTCCCAATTTAAGTAATAATTTACAAAATCATTGTTCCTGTGTGCTGCGTTGCTGTTGTTGTTATGTGCCATTGAGTCGCTTGTGACTCATAGCAACCCTATGTACAAGAGCTCTAAACACCGTTCTATCCTGTGCCAGCCTAGTCATCTCAAACGCATTCATTCCCACCATCTCATCAAAGGTCTTCCTCTCCTTCGCCACCCCTCCACCCTGCCAATCATGATGTCATCTCATCAAAGGTCTTCCTCTCCTTCGCCGCCCCTCCACCCTGCCAAACATGATGTCCCTCTCCAAAGACCAGTCCCTCCTTGCAACATGCCCAAAGTATGTCAGATGAACTTCAGAATACTTGACTCCAAGGAGCATTCTGGCTTCACCTTCTCCAGGACAAACCTGATTGTTCTACTAGCAGTCAATGGTATATTCAACACTCTTCTCCAGCACCACAGCTCAAAGGCATCAATTCTCTTTCTATCATCCCTATTCACTATCCAACTCTCTGATGCATAGCACGTAATTGCGAAGACTATAGCCCTGTAAATTAGGCACACCTTAATCTCCAGCCTGACGTCGTTGCTGTTCAGTATTCTTGAGAGGTCCCTCAAAGCTGATTTTCCCAGTGCAATTCGTCTCTTGATTTCCTGGCTGCTGTTACCAAGAGTGTTGATTGTGGAGCTAAGCAAACTAAAACTGTTAACTCTCTCAATCTCTTCACCATCCATACTGATGCTGCCAATTGGCCCAGTGGTGAGAATCTTTGTTTTCTTGATGTTGAGCTTCAATCCGTATAGGAGGCTGCAGTCCTTGACCTTCTGCAGCAAGCACTTCAGGTCCTCCTCAGTTTCAGCAAGCAGGGTTGTGTCATCTACATAACGCAGGTTGTTGATGACTCTTCCACCAATCCTGATGCCACACTCCTCCTTGTACAGCCCAGTGTCTAGGATGATCTGTTCTGCATACAGATTGAAAAGGCATGGAGACAGAACACATCCCTGATGAACCCCCTTCTTGATTTTGAACCGTGTAGTGTCTCCTTGCTCAGTTCTGACAACTGCCTCTTGGTCCAAGTATGCATGCTGCATAGTATTCAATTATATGAATGTTCCATAATTTCTCAGTCCATTTGATTGTGGTTGGACATCTGGGCTGTTTCCATGTTCTTGTGATAGTGAATAATGCTCCTATGAACTTTGGTGTACAAGTCTCCATTTGTGCCTCAGTTATAATTTTCTCAGGGTATATTCCAAGCAGTGGAATAGCTGGGTCATATGGAATTTCTGTGTTCAACTTTTTGAGAACGTGTCAAACTGCCTTCCAGCATGATTGTTACCATTTTACAATCCCACCAACAAAGCGCAAGAGTTCCTATCTCACCACATCCTCTCCAACATCTATTACTTACTGTCCTGTTCAACTTTGCCACTATTACTGGAGTGAGATGGTATCTCATTGTGGGTTTGATTTTCATCTCTCTTATTGTCAGTGATTTGGAGCATTTCTTCATGTGTCTGTTGGCCATTTGAATATCTTCCTCTGTGAAAATTCTTTCCATGTCTTTTGTCCATTTTGGAATTGGGTTATCAGTCTTTTTTTTTTTTTTTGGTTATCAGTCTTGTGGAGGCCCAGGAGTATTCTGTAAACTTTAGTTATGAGACTTTTGTCCGAGATGGTATTACCAAATGTTTGTTCCTAGTCGGTAGGTTCTCTTTTCACCCTGTTGGAAAAAGTTTTTGATGTGCATAGAGATTTAATCTTTAGAAGGTCCCATTCATCAATTTTATCCTCTTTGGATTGTGCATTTCTCACTGTATTTGGCAGTCTTTTTATACAATAGATTAGTGCTTCTAAGCTTGATCTCAGTTTGTCTCTTATGAGTTTTATGGTTTTGGGCTTTATTCCCAGGTTTCTGATTCACCTTGAGTTGATTTTTGTGTGTGAGGTGAGATGTGGATCCTGTTTGAGCTTTCTGCAGGTGAAGTCTAGTTTGCCAGCACCATTTGTTGAAGAGGTTTATCATTTCCCCATTTGATAGCTTTGATTTCCTTGTCAAATACCAACTGACCATAGATAGCTGGGTCTGTCTCTGGGTTTTCAGTTCTGTTTCATTGGTCTATATGCCTGTCATTTCTCCATGCTATTTTGATGCAAATTCTCAGAATATTGGTTTTGGTTTGTAAATGTATAGGTCTGTTAAATATAATGGACCTTTTTAAAAAAAACAAACTTCATGGTAGCACCATAATCTGTATTTAAGTGTTTATTTTATATTGAGATTTAAGTAGGAAAAAAGCTTCTTGACTGTAAGAATGACATGTTATGACTTCTTTAAAAACTTTTCTGATATGTTATTTCAAATACACAGTAATTATAAATAAGAAGTAATATTTTTGTTCTGTCCTGTCATACAGCTTTTAGAACATAAAAACTAGTTTAAAACACATGACTCATAAACATTGCATGTTAAGTCTATATTTTCTGTATAGCTATAGAGAAACTCTTAATTCATACTTTAAATCAGGAATGTATTATTTTAGGTTGTTCAAAATAAGTCACAAAAGGATTCTAGAGAATGTGGTTTAAATCTTGTACATAATAAAGTGAGTACTGGAGAAATTAATCACAATGGAAAATATCCTGAAGCATCTGCAATGCTGACATCAGATCTACCTCGTCCAGGTAAGCCTATGATAATGGGCTTCACACTTGCTCAATAATAGTGTTGATACTAATTCTTTTAAAAAAATGTGTTGATGTACTACTACCTACCATTAGATTGTTGGCAGTTAAGATTATTATTTTTTTTTTGTTTAGATTTACTTTTAGTGATTGGATGAATAACTGTAATTTTACACTTCATAATAACCTTATGTTTAAGAGTGTTCATTGTAAACACTTTATTTAAAAAATGATCTTTTCCTCAGATACCAAAATAAATTGTGTTTAAAGATTTTGTTTGCCCCACAAAAGTGGGTTAATCATATTGAGAGGTGAATTTTAAATGACTAACATTATAATCCATGGCATAACTTCAGTTAATTAGATCTAAATTATGAAGATGTGTAACTTAGGAAAACAAAACCTTTAACAAAAGTTTTTTTACATATTACTCCATTGTTCCTATTAATATAAGGATTATGGTTCTTTTTGTATCTGTGAAAGATGATTGTTTTTCATGTAATTAGAAGAAAATATCTGTATCACAGCTGTTGATTAATTTGGCCTTGTGAAAGACATCATTAAGACTACATTTTCAAATTCCTTTATGCATTTTTTGGTTAATAAATTGGTTCAGGGAGAGAGCCCTACCTTTTGGGTTACAGAACAGTGAGAGTCATCCTTAAATATTAGTGCAGAGCAACAAATATCTTAAGCATTTAACCCTTAGCTGCTTAAATACTTTGAAGGTATTGTCTTATACTTCGCAATTAATAAATGCTTGTAAGTAGGGATATTGAGTGTTTTTTATATTATATTGTCTTTAAATTTTTTGTAAGTTGTTTATATTAACAATATAAAATGGATTTGTACATTTGTTTTGGGACGAAAATTAATTTTGTATATTCCCTAGATTGTGAAAGGCTTTTGGAACTGGTTTCAATTTAATGAGATCTTTAGGGAAAGTTTTCAAAAAAACCTAAACTCACTGCTTCAAGTTGGTTCTGACTCAGAGGGATTCTCTATTGGCTTTCTTTTTTTTTAATATTGGTGTGCATGCAAAATTTGCATACCTTGTATATTGTTCACGTACATTGTGTTTCACTTTCCTACATTCACATTGTGTTTCAAATGATCACTCATATACATTGTGTTCTAGAAAATTAATCATCATTGATCTATGTTGAGGTTGTTAAAATCTTAATCTAAAGAGACTTCCCATCTTTCTCATGAGGAACAGCTGGTGGATTTGTACTGCCAGACACAGTGCAGTGGTTTGGTTAAGAGCTCAGCACCATCTGGGCTTAGGCCACCAGAGCTATGTAAGGACAGCTGTGGGCGTGGCAGTCTAGCTGCTGACCATCTTACTGATTTGTTCTTTCCTTTGTCCATTTTTTTCTCTTCCTCTTTTTTTCCTTTCATCCTCCTCTTTACTCAGATCCCCCCCCCCCCTTTAAGCCTAGGGACCTATGGTGGTGAATCCGTAGGGAATTATGTTGCTCACCCAAAGACCTCTCTGGTGGTGTGAATCCACTAGCAGCGGCAGGAGAGAAAGATGGGCAGTCTCTCCCATGCAGTTTTAGAGCCTTGAAAACCTGCTGGAGGGTCAGCTATGAATTGGTTCCATGACGGCAGTGAGAATTGAGAGAGGTATTGGCAGCCTGAAACGATACGCCCATCTATTTTCCATTATCTTAGCCAGTCTCATCAGGACAGCATGATGCTGAATCTAGACTGTCACATAGTCTGTGCTACTGACTTCATTTTATGCTTTGTATTCTACAGTTTCTCATTTCCTTCCCTATGATAAAGAAGAAAGCAGTAAAGATAAATTGAAGAGGCAGTTAATTTACCTAATTCATCATTCCTTAATCCCGTCTCAGCTTTACTAAATTCACTGGAGTAGGGAATTTGATCTCCTGATACTCTCGTGCCTCTCAGTCAGGGAGAGAGTTTAATTGAGGAGAAGACCTTTGTGAAAAGCATCTTGCTTTTCTGTCATGAATTTCTGGAGAGGGATGTAGTGCATAAAATAGCATGGAGATGAGAGAACTATGCAGTTTAAAAAAAAAAACAAACAGCAACTCACCGAACAAGTTACCTTTTGTTATCCTTTCAGTCCTAGTTCTAATCTACCTTGAAATGAAATCTAAGCCCATCATCTTTTTTTTTTTTTAAAAGATCATGCATATGGGGAAGGCAGCAGTCTGTTTTTTCTCATTCTGTATTCTGATTAATATAGACTCCCTATATTCTGCTGTTAATCTGAGGGTTGGGAGAGTTTATTGCCAAGGGATGCTAGGTTTATGTTAAGGTGACAGAAAAATTTTGAAATGGATGATAATGGTTGCATAACACGATGAATGTAAATATGTAGAAAAGATGTATGAGAGAATTATTTTCCTACCTTGAACACATGCTATTAAACTGTGGCAAGTTTAATGAGTTAAAAACTACCACAGTCTCTTAATTTGTATCTTCCTGATTAGCTAAAGGTAGAGGAAAGCTTAATGAGAGAGACATCCAGAAGACAAGAATGAGTTTTCCTCTCTGGAGAAGAGTAGGCACTTTCCCTTTCTGGTGCCCTCAGTTATATAGGTCTTGGTACTTCCTAGTTTCCGCTGAATGCCTGCCTCTTCTACAGCGACAGCTTTTTTTTCATTTTCAAAAAGAGCGTTTTTAAGAAGAGTCAGCACATTGGTAATTGAAGCATTTGCCTTCTGACACAGTCGCTTTCCACGATGAAAACAGTGGTATGCAGTTTCACCCAATTTAAGTTCTATAATATTAAAAAATTCAATGTAAGGGGGAAAAGAAAAATAGTTAATGATGTTCCAATTCCAGATAAAATCTGCAGGGTAAGTATGGCTGCTCTTTTCTTCCAGTCATTACTCCATAAAATGTTGGCTGTGTCACAAGGAATCTCCTGTGCTTCCCTTCAGTTGAAGCTTGCCAAAGCACAACACATTTCCCTTGTGAATTCAACCTCAGTGCCAGGCTTTTTGGCGCACCTTCCTTGGCCCTTCTTGATGAGGTGATTATTGGCGTGCACTGATTGGCTCCATCAGCTGCCATTTGACTAGTTTCCTGGTTTTTCTCAGGCCTTTATTGCCATCTTCCATTGTTCTTTTTCTGGCCACTATAATTTTCCTTTTCAAATTCTGCATTCATTTTTTTATGTCCATTTTTCTGTTGCATTTTTTCATAGTTTATACGAGTTGTTTGTAATTTGTGGAACCTATGCCTGGACCAGGAGACTGTTGTGTGAATGGAGCAAGGGAACATGGTTTAACATTGAAAAGGGACTCCATCAGTGTTGTATTCTTTCTTCTTACTTGTTCAGTCTGCATACTGAGCAAATCATCTAGGAGGCTGCACTCTTTGAAGACAAGTGTGGCATAAGGATTGGAGGGAGAGTCATCAGTAACCTGTGTTATGCAGATGACGCAACCTTGCTTGCTGAAAGTCAGGAAGACTTGAAGCACATGTTGCAGAAGATCAAAGAATGTAGCCTTCAGTATGGATTGCATCTCAATGTTAAGAAAACAGAGTCTTACCACTGGACTGATAGGCAACATCATGATGGATGAAGAGGAGATTGAAACTGTCAATGGCTTCATCTTGGTTGGATCTACAGCTAACACGCTTGGTACCAGCAGTCAGGAAATAAGGATACACATTGCACTGGGAAAATCTGCAGTTAGGGACCACTCCAAATTGTTAAGGAGTAATGATGTCAGTTTGAGGACTAATTTGTGTCTGATTCAGGCCATAGGCTTTCCAATCATTCGCTGTGCATCAGAGGTCTGGACAGTGAATAAGGATGACAGAAAAAGAGTTGATGTCTTTAAGCTGTGGTATTGTAGAAGAGCACTGAATATTCATGGATGGTCAAGTGAACAGACAGACATGTCTTGAAGAGGGTGCAGCCAGAGTGCTCTTTGGAGGCAAGAATGATGAGGCTTTGCCTCACACACTTTGGTTATGTTGATAGGAGGTGTTGTTCCTTGGAGAAGGACATGATGTTGGGAATGGTGGAGGGTTGGACCCTCAACCAGGTGGATTGACATGGTGACTACTGCAGTGGGATTTTGTGTGTCAGGAAGTGTGAGGATGGCACAGGGTAGAACAGGGTTCAGATCTTTTGTTCATAGGGTCGCTATGAGTTATACTTGACTCAAGGGCACACAACAACAACAACAACAACATGATATATGGGTATATTTCTGAAAAACTTTCTGACAATGCAATTAATTTTAAAGTTCTGCATACAGTTCTATTCAGTCTCAGTGATCCTCAACTGGTAGATGCTGTCATTAGTTTGTTGAATATCTTGTTAGAAAATTGTGTTTACAATTTTCTAGTTATATTCTAACACAGGTAACCTCAGGCTGCATTGGCCAGGGTACACCCTGAAGCATTGCCAGAAAAGATTTCTGGGAGTTGGGGAGGAGAGAGGCGGAGTTGTGCTGATCTCTAGATTCTAACGGCAGGTAGCCTGTGGCCCTTGGGCCAAGAAAATTTGCATCAGCACCTGGCTTCAAATGGAAGACAAGCTGTATTAACCCATGAGAAGGCAATTCTGGAATGGAAGTTGCACATTACACTTATACTTAAGAACTTTAAATTGAAGTCATATTAGCTGCATCATAAGAGATTCACAGCAGCATGATATGTTCAGAATCACAGAAATCCTGATGGCTTGAGACTTAGGCCATCATATCAGGGGCTGGCCAATGGGAGACCGGTATTGAATGGTGTAGGCAAAAGGAGGAAGGGATGGTGGTGGAGTAAGGAAGCATCGATGGGCTGTAACATTGAATCTATTGGTCATTGTTATAACTGGGCAATTGTCTTTCATTGGTTCTTTTCTGTGGAATGCTTGTCTGTCAGATACTATTATATATATTTAAAGATTGAGACAGACTAGGAAGAAGGATTGGCCATCCACTTCCGAGAAGACAGGCCTTCGAAAACCCTAGGTACAGTAGAGCACACTTAGACTATCGCTTGGACTAGCAGACATGGCAATTGAGACTGAGATCTTAGAAATGGAAATACAGAGAAGAAGGAACAGCTGTAAGCAGGCACTAGTGATTGGAACATGGAACGTGAGAAGCATGAATGTAGGAAAATTGGACATTGTTAAGAAAGAACAGGACACATAAATATTGACATACTAGGTATAGGCAAAATGAGATGGCTTGGCATGGGACATTTTGAATCAGACGAGTATATGATTTACTATGCTGGGGATGAAAAGGTGAGAAAGAATGGGGTTGGTTTCATAATTAAAAAAGTCATTTCTAGATCTATCCTGAAATACAATGTGGTGAGCGATAGGATAATATCCATACGCATACAAGGAAGTCCAGTGAATACCACTATCATTCAAATATATGCACACCAACAACTAGAGCCAAAGAGGAGGAAATAGAAGATTAGTACTCTTTGGTGCCTACCACACATGGCATTATCATGAGTTGGAATCCACCTGAAGGCAACTAACTACAGCAAAGTTACTTGTTTTATGTATTCTTTTTACTTAGCATGTATTTTTGAGATTGTTTTATGTCAGTATGTAGAAATCTGCATCTTTCATTTTAATGCTACTTGGAGAATGTCATATGAAATGGATTACCATAGTGGTCTTAACTGGTGCCCAACTGAGAGACTTTTAGGGTGCTTCCAGTATTATGCCGTGCATTAATGCTTCGTTATTCTTTGTGCTCATTTGAATACTTTTCTAAGAGAGATTCTCCTATAAAATTACTGTAGTTTTAGGCGATTTTGCACTTTAAAAATCCTGATAGGTTTCATTTCTCATTCCAAAACAGCATTTTATACGACAAGAAAACTATTTCTTTCCCCTACCCTTATTCACACATGACATTTTTCAACTTCTAAAAATTTTGCCAATTTTTTGGATGAAAAGAATTTTTACTTTATTATTTCCATGATAGTGAAAAAAAAAAAACAACAACAGGAAATTTCCAAAGAAATATGCCCTGACTGTGTACTTGTTTCCCTTGATGTTCTTTTCAGTATTTTTTTTTTTAATTCTCAGAAAAAGCTAGAATGGCAATAGGTACCAGTGGTCCAATTGCAGTTCTGAGGATCATTCCTAGTCTTACAGAGACAAAAATCCTTTGACGTCCTGTTAGATTATAAATTCTTGTTGACCCAGTGATGGATACTGGTGAGTTAATGGGCTTGAGCGTGTCAGAGACTGAAGATGGTGCAGAATAGGTCAGAGTTCCGAGCTCTTGTTCGTTGGATTGCTTGGTATGAGTCATGCTTGGCATGATGGCACATAACAACAAATTTGTGTTGTCCAGTGGAGCTCTGGTGGCCTCGTCTGTAGTGAGTTGTGCTGGTAACTCAAAGGTGGCACCTCCGGCCGTTCTGGTGCACCAACAACTTGGAGAAAGACGGGTAATCTCCCATTAGATTTACAGCCTTGGAAACCTAATGGAGGGTCAACTCTGAGTCTATTCTGACATAATGGCAGTTAAGTGTTGAGTGAATCTGTTGTCTGTTTTCTGTCATAAGAATGAAAAACAGGGTAATTGAGCGTTTATGCCCTTCCTGTAGAACTACTATGTAGATTGGTGTCTAGAGGCTAGATTCACCTTTGTTTTCCTGTGCATTGACCATGTGCTTGGGAGCACTTTAGTTTTTTGATTGCTCTACAGTTTTTGATTGATTGGAACTGATCAATTATAATTTTATCCTATCTGGAGAAACATGTATATCAGAAAATAGACTTATTTATTTATATTGTTCTTTAACATATGTTTTCAGACTGGTATTAGAAAATATGTTCTAATACAAAAACTCGTGCCCTTACAAATGACAGTACTAGCTGTTTCCTTTCAGCATTCAGATTATTCGAGTCTTGCTAAATAAAAATCTGCACTGTTGTAACAGCAAATGTGATTTTGTTCTGTGCAGATTTAAGGCATGTTTATGCTGTCTCACAGTAAATGGTGGCTTTTACACATGATGAAGCTGACTAGCATAGTCACTCACAGGTCGAATAAAAACATTTTTGAGTGCATTTTAGATCTAATATTGCCCCCCCCCGTTTCTTTTTAAATAACTGAGGAAAATATGCAGGGGGGGAATAGGCTGTAAAGTGAAGGAGAAGCTTAGCTTTATGGTGCAGTCTGAGTCTGGGTGTAACCTAACTAGCTAGAGGATATGCAGTTTCTGATTGACAGCAGGACCAGCATTATGCAAATTTTGTAAGGGAGAACTGCAGCTCAGAAGCAATGATTAGGGGCTCTGTTAAGAAGCTCTGCATTCACCACTCAGGTCTTTATAAGGTTTTTATTTCTCTGTCTGCAGGATTTATAAGCAGCTAGCACAACAGTGCTGTTTTTGTTTTTATTAAAGTGAGAATACAGTGCATTTCAGTCTATCAGCTAGGCATCCATGTGCAAAAACCCCATAGTCTCCCTAAATAAGCTGATTTTTAAGCTTTGTTCCATGCTTATCTCTAGACCTTTGTGCACTCAATCCTATCCCGAGCTGCTGTTCTCTTTATACACAAGTGTGTTTTGCCTTCCTGTCTTCTTGAGTGAGGAGCTTTATGTAGGTCAGGCTTGGCTTAAGCTGATTTCCTGAACCTGCGTCAGCTTAAGCTGGAGGAATTTTAATAAACCCTCCCCTGTAGGCGTGGGCCTAAATGAGGCTAGCCTAGTTAAGCCTGATCTTTTTCTGTTTGTGAAAAGAGCTGAGCAGAGCTAGAGGCTGCATGGTGGTTTCAGAAACAGCTTACTTAATTGGAAAAGAACAATGGTAGGAAAGGCTAGGTCTTCCAATTTTACCTTATCCGAAAAGCTTGATTTGCTAAAGCTAGTGAAGCCCTATGTTAAAATTCTCGAAGAACACACCAATAAACATTCAGTTATAGTGGAAAAGAATAGATGTTGGGATATCATAGCAGTCAACTATAATGCAATTGGAATAGACCGCCCTCCTCGAACAGCTCAGGGCCTACGCACCCTTTACAAAAGGCTCAAAGAATATGCCAAACAGGAGCTGTTGCAGCAAAGAGAGACCCAATCAGATTTTAAAAGCAGTATATCTGAGCCAACCAAGAAAGTTATGGAGATGATTCCCCAGATTTCCAGTTTTTGCCTGGTAAGAGACAGGAACCACATACAAAGGTAAGCTTGATTTTATTTTGTTGTAGAAAATTATGGTGCCTCCTATCTATTCGGTTCTAGTGTACTTGTGATAGAGATATGCATAATAAGAATCCCCACAATGAGAGCAATGAATAGTAGCTTTGTTTCGCATTCTGAAAAAAGAAAAATGAAGCTTTAAAGAATTTTTCTACTGCATTTACGTTAAGTCACTTTTTGCATTCTCCCCCTCCCCCCATCTCTCCTGTAGTTTCTAAAAAGTAAAGGTTAAAGAGGACTCAATGAGATGACAAGACATCACCTCATAAACTTTTAAAACTTTGAGGTATTTAAGTAGCTTTTGAGAGATACTTTTTCTTATTTTACTTAAAAATACATCTCACTGAGATTTTCAGTTTTATAAGGTTAAAAGTTTTAAGAGAGGTGAAACTTGCTTTTGTAATATGAATAATTTTAAGCTTTGTTTACCCTTATTAAATATGTGCATTAACTAAAAATCAGCAATTAAGTAAATTTAATAATGGTAATACTGCATCTATATGAATTTAAATTATTTTTATTAGCTTATTTTTAAAATAAAAAACTTGAACTTTAGGTAAGTGAGCTAGTGCCTAATTTAGGAACTCTACTATTAAAAGAGTTTTTGTTGTTGTGTTTTTGAGTTTTAGTGTTTATTAATGGTTTAGTTTAACTTTGATCATGGTCTTTTAAGCTTTTCTCATACTGCTTTGCAGGGATATCAAGCTATTACTTTCTAATATACTCAAAAGAGGAACTCAGTTCTTCCAGGGCTTGAAATAGCTTTTTGGCTAGATTTGAGTTGCCTGGGAATTCTTCAGATCTTTCATAACTCCTGGCAAAAGATAAAAAATGGCAGCTACCTTCTTGTTGGGAAACCTTTAGGTAAATTACAGACCTGCACATTGTTACCTTCTTGGTAGTTGAGGTGCCTTCCTGTGGAAGAGTCATCATGGGGCCAAATTACTTATTACCTGGGCAATCCCTTTGAAATTGGGAGGTAAAAGGCAAAAACAAGCAAAAGAAAATCCCCAAAACATGCTAGAAAAATGGGCATTATTTTGGTAATTTACAAGAAAAATCTTTTTGTGCCTACATCTTGGATCCTTGTAACATTAAATAATACCTGTTTTGTTGGTACAAGTTCACTTGTATTTATTTAAAATATAGTGACACCATAAAAGAAAAAATAAATATGCAATGTCTTTGCATTCCTGACACTTAGAATATACATATACTGTGCAATCAATCTTTTGGGGCACCATGATTTCCCTGACAAAATGATTTGATTGATTTAAGCATTTCTATACCTGCTATTTAAACAGCTACAACTTTTTAGATTTTAAGTGACACTTAAATGATTATTTATGTTGGTATAACTACACTGCCATTTTCTCTAGAATAGAATTTTTCCATATATTTAATGTGCTTGCACTTATCTGACTGACCTCATCTTAAATCATAAGTTTATAACTTTCGTATAATCTTTAATTTGCTTCTATATCAGTATGTTTGTTAATCTTACCAAGCTCCTACTAGAAAAATCTTACTGCTTAAATGGTTTAACATATTAAAAAAAATGTGTGCTCATTTTGTAAGTCTGTTGATGTCTATAATTTATGTTTATTTATATTTTTATTATCCCTACTCCTTGTATCAGATTGTATTTTGTTTTTGTAAGTGATTCTCAAAGTACAGACTTCTGAATTTTAGAAGCCTTTTCCTGTTTTATAACTTATTTATTTTTTAGCAAAACAAGAGGAAAAGGTTTATTAAGGCAATAAGAGGCCTAACTAGTGTAAGGTGGGCCATGCAAAAGAGTGAAAGGGAAAGGAGGGAAGAGGGGAAAGGACATCTGGAAGGAGAGAAGGAAAGCAGACCTTGTGACATATCACCAGCAGAAAAAGAGATAAGAGCTGCTCTATCATTTTTGTGACTTTAAAGTTTTTTTCTCTTCAACTTTACTGTCTTACTTGTAATGCTTTAATTAAAATGAAATGGAATGGTCTATATATAAGACATATTTTTTAAAAATTTTTATTGTATTAATTTTATGTGTACCATCAAATCAGATCTGACTGGTACAGGAGGAGATTGTCCCCTCCTTCTCCAGCAGAGCATCTGATGGATTTGAACTGCGTACTTCTGGGATTGCAGTGCAGCGTCTTGCCACTAGGCCACCAGCACTCCCTCTATAAGGCATATTTTTAACTTACATGAGAATATAATGTATACTTCATTATAGGTCATACTTTATATTGCATATGCATTTGGAATAGTAACTATGTGACTGTTGCAGGCCGAGGGTAATTTTATAATTATTAGTAATGAGACAGACAGCCAGGAATGAGATAGAACAGATAGCATAAAACAGGGGGCCACCAGTTCTTGACTGAAGACCCCAAGTCATGTTTCTCTTTGTATTTATTGATAATCAGGGGAAGCAAATTGTAAAAGGAATTCCTTGTAAATGTAGCCAAATTTTTCTCTATTGTCAACCTAATGCTCTAGCTCAGGAAGTATTTCACAGGTAGAAACACTCCCTCTGTAGGGGGGCCCTAGCTGTCTCCTATCTGCAGGGAACAAACAGCTCATTTTCTGTGATCTGCCACAAGAGAATTCCTAACTTATAAATTTGTAATTCATTCTTTCAATTCCTGAACAAGGGTTTTCATATAATGTTTGGTATAAAGTTTGGCTTCCCATATGTGACTTTTTAAAAACTTAATATTTTTATAGGTAATATTAACCTTTTCCCATCATATATTTTGCAGGGGTTAGAAGATAATATCTTATTAATTTGAGTACTTTATAATTCCATTGTTTTGCTTTTGACAAATCATAAAAGGATAAAAAGGATAAAAAGGATAAGAAATACAGTGTGTGAAGAAATTTATAATTTATATAATCTCTATACCTTGCTGAAAGATTTCATTTGTATTTCTTTTACAATTATCTGATGTTTCTGGCCATTTAATACCACTACTAAGTGACATATGGGGAGATTTCATTTCTTTTCCTTAGATTCTACTTGAACTTCTTGCCCCAGTATTTTAACATATTAACTTTGCTAAAATGTTTGCTAAAACTTTGTAAAATGTTTTCTAAATAATGTTGAGAAAAACATTTCTATTATGTTCCAATAATCTTATTCCCCTCTGTAACTTTGAGTTATGTTAGTAGCATTGTTTAAAAACAATAAATGAACTGAAGAAACAAGATTATTTCTTAATAAACAGCTTTAATGATACATACAAAACTTTAAAAAAAATTTTTTTTCATATAAAACTTTTTAAAAAATCAGTGCTGCATATTTTGTTTCGTGTCGTAATTACAATACTCATAATGTCGGATTGTCCCATCTGTTTGTTCTTCATGGTCTTTACTTTTCTCTGAAGAAAGTATTGTCTGTCCATTAATTTTCCCTCCCCTCTAACACTACTCCCACCATAACTACTAGATTGATTCTCTCTGTATGTAAACCATTCTCTAGTCTTTTGTGTGTTTTTTCAAATCTATAACACTCTTATACAGTGTTGGTCATTTTGTGGCTGACTTATTTCACACAGTATAATGCATTCATATTGTATGGTGGTTCATGCATTTTCATTATTTTTTTTTTAATTATTATTTTTTGTGTGAGTGTACCGTCAAATCAGATCTGACTGCTACAGGAAGAGATTGTCCCTCCTTCCCCGGCAGAGCATCTGGTGGATTCGAACTGTGCGCCTCTGGGATTGTAGTTGCAACTCCTTGCCCCTAGGCCACCAGAGCTCCCCTGCATTTTCATTATTTTTTAATGGTGCATAGTTTTCCATTATATACACAAAACTTAAAAAATACAGCAAAAGTATTAAGTTTATAATTTCATTACAAATATTGTTCTATCAAAGGTTAAGTTGCAGTGAAACTAGTTACAGCTAATACATTGCCAGTTTAGTTGAAAGTGACTCTTAGCTGATCCTCCAGCAGATTTTCAGATGCCATAAATTATGAAGGAGAAGATTTTCCATCTTCTGTGGAGGGACTGGTAGATTTGAACTCAGGAGAGATGTTGCCTTTGGTTAGCAGTGCGACTCCACAACTCCCTGTGGGTTGTGGCTAATAAAAATTCTCATTTTATGGAAATTTTGTGTAAATACTAGAAACTTCCAGTATATTGGATATAATAACCAGTGAGTATGGCAGAGGAGAATTGTGCCCCTAGAGTTTTTGTTATATTTCAGAAATAGATCATCACTAGGCTTTTCCTTTCCAATATCTCTGGCTGAACATGAACTTCTGGCTTTTGGATGAGAGCTTGTTGTTGTTATGTGCTGTCGAGTCGTTTTTGACTCATAGCGACCCTATGTACAACAGCCCTAAACCCTGCTCTATCCTGTGCCAACCGCACTGCCTCTGACACACCCATCCCGATTACCCCAGTCACTGAATCAATCCACCTCATAGAGGGATGAGAGCTAAACATGTTAAATTTGCACCACTCCAGGTCTTCATATTGAACATGTTGTTGGGTCATTTCTTACACATAGCAATACAGGACAGAGTATAGCTGTCCCATAGGCTATAACTCTTCTAGCCGAGCTGCTGGTGGGTTCAAACTACTGACCCGTCAGTTGGCAGCCAAGTACTTAAACCATAGTGTCACCCACTACGGTGTGTATATGAAACCTATTATCATCAAGTAGGTTGTGATGTTTGTAGCAGCAAACACCTGAGCAGGTTTCTGAGGTGGTAAATCTTAAGACAAGGAGACAGCCCCATCTTTTCTGCAGAGTGGCTGGTGGATTTGAAATCCTGTCCTTTTGATAGCAGTTGAATATATTATGCACAGTGCCAACACTGCCCCTTAGAGTGTGTATGTTATTGTTGTTGCGTACTGAGGAGTCGGACCCGACCCACAGCTGACACTCCAGTGGGTTTTCAGAGGCAGTTACTTTCTCGGGAAGAGCTTGCCCATCCTTCTCCCCTGGAACAGCTGGCGGATTCCAACAGCATATATTTGGGATTGCAGCACAGGCTCTTACCACTAAGCCACCAGAGCTCCACTGTGTAAATGCCATTTAAAAATATTTCAGTTAAGAAATGTCCGTTTGCTTACTCATTCAGCAGATGATGAACACCTTCTAGGTTCCCAGACAGTATTGCACCCACATCTGTCAATTGGTGCTGACTGATGGCGCCCCTCTGTGGGTATTCTGAGGCTAACTCAATTGAGAGGAGACAGACTGCCTCATTCTCCCACCGAGCAGCTGGTGGATTTAGACTGCTAGAGACTTGGGGCTTTTGGGTTAGCACCATGACTTGTGACTGATGGTACTACCAGGGCTTCCTAGTATTAAACTAATTGCCAGTTGGGTTGAAACTGACTCACAGCTGATCCTGCAGTGGATTTTTGGAGGCTGTAGTTGGCACAGGAGATTGCCCATCTTTTTCTCTTAGATCTTGTAGATTTGAACCTCCAGAGAGGCACCCCTTTGGGTTTAACAGTGCAGCTCAATATAGAAGAGGCCACCAGAGCTCCCTGTTATTATTCTCAAACTCAAAACTCAGACTCACTGCTGTGGAGTCAGAGCCAACATAAGTCAGAGTTCATCTTCCAGGGAGTTTTCAGAGACTAAACCATACAGGAGAAGACTGTCCACCTTCCTCCTGTGATGCTGCTGGTGGATTCAAATCTGCTGCCTTGAGGTTGGCAAGACAACTCCTACAATTACGTCACCAGAGCTCCTTCCTATTACACTGTTGTTCAGTGCTGTCAACTTGAGTATGACTGAGACCCTTTGGCGACAGATCTGAAGCCTGCCCTATCCTGTGTTGTCCTCAGCACCTCTGACACACCATTTTTCCCCTTGAATACTTACTTATTGCATCTATATTTTGATATTTTGCCCCATTACTACAGTTCCTTTGACAGTCCCTCCCATCAGGCATCTTCCTCTCATTCACTGACCCGCTCTCATCTTTCCTGTGGTGACCAGAAGTTTTGTTCTAGTAAACAGGGTAGGTAAAAGGTAAATGCCATTTCATTGGAATAAGGATAGTTAGGATAACCCTGATAATTGACATACACTAGTTGTTGTGTGCTGTGGAGTTGATTCCAACTCAGCAGTGACTGAGCAGAACTGTGTATTGGGCAGGTTTGCTAAAGTCATATGAAAACTTGCTTTTCCCCCACCCTTTCGACAAATGTAGATATACCATCCATAAATGGTCTCATAGAACTCCGGTTATTGTTGGTAGGTGCTTTTGAGTTGAGTAGACTCATGAAGACCCTATGAACAACAGATCTGAACTCTTCCCTGTGCCATCATGGTAGCTGTAGTCACTGTGTCAGTCCGCCTCATTGAGGGTCTTCCTCTCTTTCACTGACCTTTCCTCGCGTGATGTCCTTTTCCAAGGAATAGCCTCTTCTAGCAACACGCTCAAAGGGTGTGAGATGAAGCGTCACCATCTCTGCCTCCGAGGAGTACTATGGCTGTACTTTTGCCAAGACCTATCTATCTTTAACTCAAGGGATGGGTATGAAACTTGTAAACTTGGCTGAAAGGAGTTTGGCGAATTTTCGATTAGTCCAGGATGCAGTGACATGAGCAATGGGGTTGAGTAGATGAGTATTAGAGTTAGAATTGATGAGGACGACACAGGATAGGACAGAGTTCAAATCTGTTATTCATGGGATTTCTACGAGACAGTCATGACTCAGTGGCTTCTAATGACAACCAGGAGAGTAAAACAGGGAGTCTAAGGCTGAGGTGTGGAGAGAGCAAGGTTCAGATGCAGTAAACTATTGTTTAAGAATCTCAGGGTTGTCGACGTGATAGATGTTTATTATAATTTGCCTCATTGTCTTGTGAATACAAGGGCTCTCATTTTAATAGCCCAACTTTCAGAATGATGGTGACCTACCTATATGTATACATCATTTAAATTCCAATCCTAGTTATTTATTAATCCAAAGTTTGAACAAATTTGCTTCCTGATTGTCTTTGTAGAGTTAAAGCTTGATAACGCAATGCATAAAAATATATTATGTGAAACGTTTGCTTTTTGGTTCTCATTTGATTTACATGTTGTAATGCTTTTTTGTGTGCTGTAGTGCAAACTTGGATGAGGAAGCACAGGCTGGTACCAGTTCCCTTCAGGTAATGTTGGATCACCATCCTGTTGCTATTTCAGTGGAGGTGAAGGAAGAAGATGACACTAAACCATCTCTCCCACTGATTTTAAATTCTCAACAGAATGACGCTTTAGAGCAAAGAGAAGAACATGAGTTCGTACCCACTATGGACAGATCTCTGTCACCGTCACTGTCCTCTGTTGATATGAGAATGACATTATCTCCATCTTCCATTCCACGGAGAGATGAATTTTTTCGACATGAGAGTAGAGAACACCTTAGGTCTCTGTCACTCTTAGGGTATGATCCTCAGATTCTTCAAATGCTGAAAGAAGAGCATCAGCTCATTGTAGAAAATCAGAAGAATTTTGGACTCTATGTTCAGGAGAAGAGGGATGGATTGAAGAGAAGACAGCAGTTAGAGGAAGAGCTGCTAAAAGCAAAAATTGAAGTGGAGAAACTGAAAGCAGTTCGCTTGCAGCATGATCTGCCAGAATAGAATAGAGTCTCAAATTTTTCTTGAGTCTTAACTATTTAAAACAATTGTAATTTTTGCTGAGATTGTCATTCAGAATATCTTAAAGAAAAAGAAATACTTTTGGGGGAAGAAAAAGAGGTTATGGTTCTCTTTTATGGAAGAACATTTTAACACAAGTGTGTTAAATTTTCCTTTGAGATATATTCAGATTTGCTTGTTGGTTGCATGATTACGTAGTTTAATGCCTTCTCCCCATTTTTCAAAAAGAAGTTTAGCTGTTGGCCTTTTAAAAAGATATTTGCTCCTACTCATTAAGGAGTAACATGCAGTTGTCTGCTCTGAAGTTGATGCCTGTTACAGCAGCAACCTCATACGCTAGATTGAATAGCCTCATAGGATTTCCTTACTGTAATCTTTTTTTTTAATTAATTTCAATGAATATTTACAGAGATTTTGGATTTCCATTCATTCATTGTTGCACAACTGTAATCTTAATGGGAGTAGATTACGAAGTCTTTTCTTCCATGGAGGTACCGTTAGTGTGAACTAACCAACCTTTTAAATAGCAGCCAAATGCTTAACCATTATACTTCAGAGCTTCTTAAAAATATAACATGCATACACAAATACGTTAACAAACACATGCATATTCTTCCTGGGTTCTAAGCTTTCAGCATTTTAAATTATTGCTTTGAAAGCAGAAAAAGTTTTTTTAAGTCAGTCTAATTTAAAAGCTGTGCCAACTTAATAGCAAGAAGCTTATCTACATGACTTTGATATCCACCCCCCCTCGCCCCAAATAAGCTTTCATCTTTGAAAAGAGTAATTCTAGGAGTTTAGAGATTGAAGGTGTTTGGAAACCATTTTGTCCTCTTTATGATAAGTCAATGAAGTCCATAGATAAGTCAATGATGTACAATAGAATAATAAAGCTATTTGTATCTGAGGGACTTCTGCATTTTTCCCTCCCCCTACTCTTCCATAAGAGAGAATTCTAGTGGCTTAGTGGTAAGAAATTGGGCTAACAACACAAAAGGTATGTGATTCATATCTACCACATGTTCTGTGGGAAAAAGATGGACAATCTGTGTAATTGACTGCCTCTGAAAACATGCTGGATGGTTGGCTGGAGTTGGTTCCAACTCAACAGTACATAAAAACAATTTTCATAAGAGAGCTCTGGTGTCCCAACCATAGGGAGTTACTCTGTTAATCCAAAGGCTACACCTCTGTACCAGCTCAAATCCATCAGCAGACCCATGGGGAAAAGATGGCAGTCACCTCCCATGCAGTGTACAACTTTAGAAAACCTTTTAGAGGGTCAGTTCTAACTCCATGACAATGGCTTTGACTTTTGACTCTTCTATAAAAGCAAATGTCTTCAGATTTAAAAGTGAGATACATTTATTTTATTACAATTACTTGAAAAGATTATTGGTTTATGAAAAAGAGAACTGTATCACTTGTCCCTTTCCTCCTCTTCATTTATTTTGACAAGTAAGAAATGATATTCTAATGATGCTGTGATGTATTTTGACTGTAGGATTTTAAAGTATGTCTTAGTTTATATGTCGTCTTAGAAAAAAGATATACAGTGAAAATCAGAATGGTGAAAATTAAAATTTTATTTAGAGTGAAAATTTAAAAAATGATACTACAAATGTTTGTAATTTATGATACAATCTAATGTCTTATGTTTTTTTAATGTTTTATTTTGTTTTAGTGTAATTGTAGTATTTGTGGAAATAAAACCTTTCCTCTTAAATACACATCAACTTGATGTTGAAATGTTCCAATTTTGCTGAGGCTTCATTGGGAAGGGATTTCAGACCAAGCTTTATAAAGGGGTAAATAGAATTTCAGCAAAAGGGGCCTTTGTGGCCCACCCATTATTTCTTCAGTAAAGACCCGGTAAATTGCTTCTGTGTACAGTGTTGTAGGTGCTGTTGAGTTGGGTGCGACTTATGGCAACCCTATGAACAACAGATCTCATCCGTCTCTTGTCCTGTGCCATTCTCTTCATTTCTTAGGTACTTGAACACATTACAGCAGTCACTGTGTCACTTCATCTTGTTCAGGGTCTTCCACTCTTTTGCTGACCCTCCCCCTTTCCAAGCATGACACCCCTCTTTAAGGAATAGCCTGTGAAAACCCTATGAGACACCTCTACCCTGTCACCTGGGGCTGCATGAGCTAGTCAGTTCTGTAGCATCTAACAACAATAATTTCAGCATCAGAGGGAGAAGGGATGTTTGAACTTAGAGTGGGCAATATGAAAAAGGCATAGAGAATTGGAGGAAACCGGCTAGATTATATAAGCAAAATATGGTGTTCAGCTAGTTGATTTGAATGCAGAAATTTCCAAATAGTCTGTGAGCTAAATGAGTTGCTCCTCTTTACATTCAGCCTGATTTTTACATGTAAGAATCAGCCAGAAATTGGATTTTTAATGTGGAAATGCATAGTTCTTAAATATTTAAAATAAAACAGGTTTTTTTTTAATCTTAGGTGCCATCAAGTCGTTTGTGACTCATAGCGTCCCTATGTACAGCAATGTTAAATGCTGCTCTATCCTGTGCCAACCTCACCATCACTGACACACTCATTTCCATCACCCTAATCACAGAATCGATCCATCTCATCGAGGGTCTTCCTTTCCTGCGCCGTCCCTCCACTCTCCCAAACATGATGTCCCTCTCCAAGGACCAGTCCCTCCTCACAATAAGCCCAAAGTATTTCAGACGAAGCTTCAGAATCCTTGACTCCAAGGAGCATTCCGCCTTCACCCTCTCCAGGACAAACTTGTTCATTCTAGCAGTCCATTGTATATTCAACACTCTGCTCCAGCACCACAGCTCAAAGGCATCTATTCTCTTTCTGTCATCCAAGAAGGGACCCCTCATTCAGCCAATAGACTTCTGATTTTGTGATCTTTTGATAATAGAACTGGTCCTCAAATTAGAGATCTTGACCAGCAACCTTAGGGCACCTGATGATTATTTATAAATAAAAATCTCAAGATCTCACTTCCTGATAAATCTTAAACTAAGAATAGGTTCAGTAATCTGTATTTTAGCAAATTCAGTGATCATGGTACAAAAATAAAATTTGAGAACCATTGAAGAAGTATTTTGGAACATAACTTGGTACCTAAATCACACTTGTTAGGTGGCATTGAGTATGAATTATGTGACACTACCAACAGTTCTGAACTCTGCCCTATCTTGTGCCATGCTCATCATCTCTGATATCGTCTCATATACTTTGAGTTTGTTAGGATGATAGTCATTGGAAAGGAACATCATGCTTGGAAAGGTGAAGGGTCAACAAAAGAGAGGGAGACCCTCAATGAGTTGGACTGATAGAATGACTACAGCAGTGGGCTGATGTACGTCAGAAATCACATAACACTTTCAAATGTTTTTTTTTTTGCTGAAGAATGAATAAGGTTTTGAGAGCTATACATTTGAAAATTAATTGGTGCCAGTTGGTAGATTACTTTAAATGCTGTTTTTAAAGTCAGATTTAACATTATACAATGAGAAGCCATTGGAAACTTTTGATAAGCAGAATAAGATTAGAAGCATGATTATAATGGACGTGGTAAATGGAGCATGCAGAGAAGGGCATTATGAGGAAGGAGCCCTTTTTGTCACATAGTAGCTGAACTTTGAGCTACTAACAGAACAGTTGGTTTGAACCTGCCAGCTCCTCCATGGGGGAAACGTGAGGCAGTCCGCTTCCATGGAGACCTTGGAAATGCTGTGCGACAATTTTGCTGTGTAGTGTTGCTATGACTTGGAATAGACTCAATGGCAATGTTTTTATTGTTTTTAAATTATACTGAGGAAATGGGGGGAGCTCTGGTGGTCTAGTGGCAAGGAGCTGCAACTACAATCCCAGAGGTGAACGGTTCGAATCCACCAGATGCTCTGCTGGGTAAGGAGCGACAATCTCCTCCTGTACCAGTCAGATCTGATTTGACGGTACACACACACACACACAAAAAAAAAATTATACTGAGGAAATGAAATTAATAATTTAGGTTTAGTTTCTGATTATAGAAAAAACAAAGATAAAGTTGACTTTTTCAGTACTATTTTAGTTTGTAGATTTGCCAAACTGGTTCAGAGGAAACAATTATAGATCCATTATTAGAGTTAAAAATTTTTACTATAAAAATTATTGCACTTGACACAGAAACATGTAAATGCATTTTCATCATGACTTTGTTGAAAATATAAAGAGCATTATGAGCTATAAAAATTTTTAATTATAAAAACGAATATATACCTATGATTTTTTCATTGATTTGTGTTATGGCTTTCTTTTTATTCTAATGAATCTTAAAATTCTCATTTGAGAACACTTTTAAAAAAAAATTTTGTGTGTGTGTACCGTCAAATCAGATCTGGCTGGTACAGGAGATTTCCCCTCGTCCAGCAGAGCATCTGATGGATTTGAACTTTACATATTTTTAAGTACCAAAATTACACTTACTGCAGTCAAGTTACAGTAGCATATGATGCTGCTTCATTGCATAATTCTCCCTCCAATAGCATTCCAATATATAGTTACCCAGTTCATGAGAATTTCTATTTAAAGAAAATGTATGTGATACTAGAATCCATTTTGGAGGCCAAATATATTCGTATTCTATAGAATAGGTTAGAGAAATTCTGAGTCAGACTTTTTTTTTTAGTATTAAAACTTGCATTTGGGGAATATGTAACCAGTGAACATTAGCAGTTTTTGTTGAAAACCAGTTTTGTTAAGGTGAAATTGTGCAAATAAGTAGCCATGTACAGTGAGGTCCTGGAGCGCAGTCATACCCCGGAGCACTGGGGCATGAGCTTTACCTGTGAAATGCAGTGCTATGAAAACAGAGAAGAGTGACTTTTAAAATGCTGCCTTGATTCCCTAGAAATTGAATACCTATGAAAAGTATACTGAGTCAGAAGATAATTTTATCTAGTATTTTTGTCATTTAGATATTGGATAGACTGTTTTTGCCACCTTTCTGTCTTTGTATGTATGAACTTCAGTGCTACGTGGTTGTTATTAAAATTTATATGTTAAAATGGGAAACAAAGAAAACAAAACGTCTTTAATGTCTAACAAACGGCAGCTGATTTCTTAAAATATTCAAAAGAAGTACTTTTTTTTGTACATCAATTTGATGTTTCACTTTTGAAAGATTCTATCTTGACTTACATGAAAATGCTTAAAATGTGAATGATTTTTCTGTGTGCGTTGTTTCTGAGTAATGTAAAATTTTAAATAGACATGTTTAAATAATTTAGTCTAATAACTTGTGTTTGATGTTTACTATACATAATTGTGGCTGAGTACTTTGTTAATAGATGTTCTTTTAAATACAAAATGTAAGATATTTGTATCCTTGTGTGCCAGAAATGAAGGAATTCAGTACTACAGAGGTAATTTTGATAAGACATTATTGAAATACATTTATTTAGAAGATTATATTATAATAAATGTGTAATGTATCATATTAAAAAATAATGGTTTTTTTTCTTTTCGTATGTTAAGACTCATAAATTCTCCAAAGCAATGAAATACTTGACTATAAATACTTAAAAAACCTAGATGAAATATAAGACCAAAACAAATCCATTTTTGTTGAGTTGAATTTCGACACATAATGACCCTATAGGATAGATTACTACAGTCCCATAAGTTTTCCAAGGCTGTAATCATTCTAGCAGATGGCTGTCACATTTTTGTCCCAAGGAGTGGCTGGTGGGATCAAACTGCTACCCCTTCAGTTAACAGCTGAGTGCTGTTAACTCTGTTACCACAGAGGCTTTTCATGGTTACAGTCTTAAAAATAAAAGTAAATATGTAACATGACAAGTGTGATTTTGAGAAGTTGATTCAATATTGTATGTCTTGAAATTTTTTATTAAAACTGGGAGCTATCATTTGAATGCCTATTTTAAGTGAGTTGCATTATAGATAGTGAAAGTGAAAGAAATAAAAATACTACCCATCATGATACATATTAGAATTACTAATAGATCTTTGGTGCTTTAAAATCCTGTATGAATTTGTGTGTTCACAAAGATTTTTTCCTTCTAACATTTTTATGAAAAAATTTCTCAAGTATAGAGTTGATTTTACACTGAGCACTCGTGTGCATGTGTGTGTGTACACATACACACACATACCTGCCAACAAGGTTCTATAATTAGTATTTTGTTGTTGTTGTTTGGTGCTGTCGAGTCATAGACGACTCATAGTGACCCTATGAACTAACGGCCTGAGCACTGTTCATACATAGAGTTTCCGGAGGCAAGCCATTTCGGAAGTGGATGCCGCTCCTGCTTCCAGGCTTGATTTAGTCAGGAAGCTCCAGACAACACTGTCCACCATGGGTGCCCATTACCACGATTGGCACATCACTGTCACAGGCTTCAGCATCAGCAACCACGAGTTACGTCTGTACATCAACACACAGACCAGTGCTATACCACCTAGAAGAATGTTTGACAGAAGACAATTTGAACCTGGCCGAGGGCCGCAGATAAAAATCACCCACCTTCGGCTTGGTAGCAGAGCTTCCTTTCCACTAGGCCAACGTAGTTCTCTTTGTCGTTGTCGTTGTTGTTTGGTGCCGTCAAGTTGTAGACAACTCATAGCGACCCTATGAACGGACAGCCTAAGCACTGTTCATACATAGAGTTTCTGGAGGCAAGCCATTTCGGAAGTGGATGCCGCTCCTGCTTCCAGGCTTGATTTAGTCGGGAAGCTCCAGCCAAGTAAATTTAATTATTTTATTACGTATGTATCCATTTTTCAGTTTACTTTTTTTTTTATTAGCACAAACACATTTAGTTACTAACCAAGGAGATGATTCTACTTAAACCAACACTTTGAAATAGCTGCATGTAAAATGTGGCAGAAAGAAATGAACACAGTAGTGGGGGAAAAACAACAAAGTGAAGAAGCGGTATGGGGATCTGCTCATGGAACTGAGCTTGTTCATTCTTATAACTAATTCCTTTCCAAAGCAAAAATGGAATTTTTATTCTACTTTTTCATAGATCCGAGTGCAGGTGACATTGTTCATAACACATTCCACCACTAATTTCCCATCTTCCAACTTTCTGGTGATTGTGCTCTCCTTCCCATCCCACTCCTGGCGCGGAACCAAGGCACCATCGGTAAAGTTGCAGACACTGAGTTTTTCTGCCATCGGCTGTAGTTTCTTAAAACTTTTCTCGCAGGTTACAGGAGAATTGTGTTGTTTTCAAGGTGCTTTCGGTTTTCACGATGAGGGCTTTGCCATCAGAAGTGATGATACAATCTGGCTTGGCCATTGAGCCCATTTTCCGCAGAGCCATTCCCACTCCCAGTTCCTTCATGTACTCGTCAAAGCCTTTGCTGTCTACCAGGCTCCATCTTCCTACCAGCTGCTGAACGGGTGGCCGTGGTGGGCACTGAGTGGAGGGCGTGCAGAGGAGGCAGACCAGGGTTGGGCGCGGCGGGAGAGCGCAGCGTGTGGATGTGCTGCGCCGCCGCCACCGTTTGTATCCAGTTTACTTTTTTTAAGAAAGCATTTTATTTTTGGTGAAAATAATACACATCAAAGTCTGCTCCCATTTAACACTCTGCACATTATCTGTAGTGAAAACGATTTCAGTTCACGTTGTGCACGTTTTTCCTATTTCTGTTCTGATTTCATTCTCATACTTTAGACTCACTGGCCCTAAACTTCACATCTGTGCTTTGAAACTGCTTTTGTCCTTTTGGGCTCATAAAAACATATATTTAAAGGACAATATTTAAGGATGACGGTCTTTACTTTTTGAGCTAAATGTGTGTGTGTGTGTGTGTGTGTGTTTTGTTTCAAGATTAACTTCAGGTTTTAGTTTTGTCTCAAGATTTGAAGAGTAAGAGTACTGTAAGCCCAAATCCTTTGGGTATTTGGACAGCTGTTGCACATCTCTTTTTTCTTTTGGGATCCACCTATTGTGCCTCTCACTCTCCCTTGATAATAGTAACCAGGCAACATCTAGTCATCTAGTTCTTACTAGTTTCAGGGAAGAAAAGCAGTGGTTCATTGAGTTCACTGAGAACAGAATACAACAGTCCCATAAATTAATATAATATTAATGAATTAATAGTCCTATAGTTGCTTCTCTGATGTTTAGGTTTCCTTCCTCTGTTATTTAAAGCAAATAGGCTTTGTGTACCTAAAAAATACATTTTAAAATAAGTTTTCCCTAATTATCTTCTTTTTAAGTACTTAACATGAGTATTATTAGTTGTTGTTGTTAGATGCCATTGAGTTGAATACCGTTCATAGCAACATTATGACACAGCTGGTCTGAACACTGTCCTATCCCATGCTATCTTCACAATCTCTGATACACACAAATCCGCTGCAGCATTCACCATGTCAACACACCTGATCAAGAGTCTTCCTCTCTTTCACCTCTCCTCCACCTTTCCAAGCGTAATGTTCCTCTCCAAGGAATAACCTCTCCTAGCAACATGCCCAAACTATGTAAGATGAAGCTTCATCATCTTTGCCTCCAATGAACACTCTGGCTGCACCTTCTCCAAGATACATCTGTTTGTTCTTTTGACATTTTATGGGATCTTCATCATTCTTCTCCCACAATACAGTGCAAAGGCATAAATTTTTCTTGTCATCTTTAGTCATTGTCCAGCTCTCAGATGTATACCAAGTGCTTAAAAAGACCATGGCTTGAATCAGATGCACCTTATTAAACTGACATCATTGCCCTTCAGTAATTTGGAAAGGTCTCTGACTGGAGACTTTCCCACTGCAGTACGTTTACTGATCTTTTGATTACTGTTACCAAGTATATTGATTGTGGATCCAAGTAAGATGAAGTCATTGACAATCTCAGTCCTTTCTCTAGTCATCATGATGTTGCCTGTTGGTCCAGTGGTGAGGATTGTTGTTTTCTTGATGTTGTGATGCAATCCATACTGAAGGCTGTAGTGTTTAACCTTCTATAGCAAGTTCTTCAAGTCTTCACTTTCAGCAAGCAAGGTTGTGTCATCTTCATAAAAAAGGTTATAGATGAGTCTTCATAAATTCTGATGTCACATTTTCCTTCATAAAGTCCAGCTTCTCAAATAATTTGCCCAGCATACAGATTAGAAACAGCCCTGACACACAGCTTTTATAATTTTCAGCCATGCTGTCTTCCCTTGCTCCGTTCACATAACAACCTCTTGGTCTAGGTATAGGTCTCACATAAGCACAATCACATGTTTTGGAATGCCCTTTCTCAGTGTTAGCTATAATGTGTTATGATTCACATAGTCTATAAAGCACAAATAGACATTCTTCAGGTATTTTTTGCTTTCAGCTGGGCTCCATCTGACATCAGCAATGATATTGCCACAGCTTCTAAATCCAGCTTGAATGTTTGACAGTACTCTGTCCATGTACTGTTCTAGCTGTTCTTGATTGATCCTGTGAAGAATTTTGCTTGTATGCAATATTAATGATATTGTAATTACCATATTCTGTTGTATCACTTTCTTGGGGATGGGAATAAACATTGATCTCTTCCATTCAGTTGGCCAGGCACCTGTCCTCCAAATTTCATGGCATAAACTGGTGAGCATGTCCAGGGCTGCATCTGTCATTTGAAACATTTCAGTTGGTATCCCATCTCTTCCTGGTGTCTTATTTTTTGCCAGTGTCTTCAGTGGAGCATGAATACCTTCTTTCAGTATCCTTGGTTCTTAATCATTTGATATGTCTTGAAATCTTTCAGTATTGGCCAATTCTTTTTGGTATATTAACTCTGTATTTCCTCCGTCTTCTTTTAATGTTGGAATTCACTATTTGTCTTTTGGGTAAAATTTGACTATAATGAATTTCTTAGCTCTTACATGTACCATCTGATGAGGTTTGACAAATGAATACACGGGTGTCACTTGAATCCCCTATTGAGATTTAGAATGTTACCGTTACTCTAGAAATTCCCTCATCATTTTCCTAGAAAATTCCGTGGTACCTCTTCAACCTTGATTCTTTGTGTGTGTACCGCCAAATTGGATCTGACTGGTGCAGGAAGAGATTGCCCCTCCTTCTCCAGCGGAGCATCTGGTGGATTCAAACCGCATACCTCTGGGATTGCAGTGCAGCTTCTTGCCACTAGGTCACCAGAGCTCCAGATATTCTGAATCTTCTCTTCCACCCTCAGCACACTCCCTTTGGGGCATGATCTAGTCCAGGCTTGGAATTGCCAGGTTAAGGAAGATAGCATTCTGCAGTACAACACTTTAATGGACTAAGCCACCAGAGCTCCTTTCAGATGTAACTTTGAAGAAATCATCTGATCTTTCCCCAATGTGGCTGTACCATTTTTTGTTTGTTGTTGTTGTTGTTATGTGCCATCAAGTCACTTGTCACTCATAGCGACCCTATGTACAACATCTCTAAACCCTGCTTTATCTCTTGCCAACCTTATTGTGTCTGACACACCTATCCCCATTACCCCAGTAACTGAATCAGTCCATCTCATGAGGGTCTTCCTCTCCTGTGCTGTCCCTCCACCCTCCCAAGCATGACATCCCTCTCCAAGGACTGATCCCGCCTTGCAACATGTTCAGAGTATGTCAGACAGAGCTTCAGAAAACTTGCCGTCAAGGAGCAGCCTGTCTTCATTCTCTCTAGAATGAACTTGTCTGTTCTCCTAGCAGTCCATGGTATATTCAATACTCTTCTCCAGCAACAAAGCTCAAAGGCATCAACTCTTTTATATCATCCCTAGTCATTGTCCAGCTCTCTGATGCATAGCAAGTAACGGCAAAGACCGTGACTTGTATCAGGTGCACCTTAGTCTCCACACTGACATAGTTTTTCCTCAGTACCTTGGAGAGGTCTCTGACAGTAGACATTCCCAATGCAATTCGTCTTTTAATTTCCTGACTTTTGGTACCAAGAGTGTTGATTATAGAACCAAGCAACAATAAATGAGGGGTTTTGTTTGTTTGCTTTCCTATAAAACTTTGCATGCTAATTTGGTTAACAACACATACTGTCACTATGAATCACAGGTGACTTGACGGCACATAACTCATAGAATTACTTTCCATGACATCAGCTAATATGTATAAAAGGTTTAGAAGAGTACTTATAATGTAGAACTCCCCTCTAAACTATCATTATTAATATGACTATCTTGCTCCTGTTACTTTTCTGTTTAGTTCCATTTTCAATTATATAGGTTATAGGACAAGAGGAAAAGGAGGTAATACTTCCAAAGACTGGAATAAATATAACCAAGAATTATGAGATTTACACTACTTGTAATACAGGAAAGCAATAACTTGTTATCTCTCAGACTAAACACACCTACAATATCACTATAATGAATTTTTGTTTTGAAACTTGGTTATGATATACTTCTCCCTTACAATAACTATACTTACTAATCAATATAAAAATAATGGTCTGTATAAAAAAGAAGAAACTTGAATGTCTCTTAGGTTACAGTATCTAAAATCATGCTTTCACCAAAAAAAAGGAAGATATCGAGGTAATAATTTTCATAAATAGTGTAGATTCTCTCAATCAATGATTGCTACACATAGTCATTCTGGGGCTGGGTTAATATTGATTTCCAAAATTTCAGGCTGTGAATATTTTTATTTTACTTGAACAATTCCAAATTTACTTTTCAATTTTCAATGGAACAAATGGTTTGAGGTATTTCAAATAATCAAATTCAGTAAAAAAATATGACTATAGATTCTATTTCTTGATTTTTAAAATGACTAAACTTATTAGAACTTTTCAAAGACGTTATCATGTAACTGGAGCCCTGTTGGCACAGTGGTCAGGATATTTAGCTGCTAACCAAAAGGTCAACAGTTCAAACCCACCAGCCATTCTGCAGAATGGGATGATCTACTTCCATACGTTTTTATAGCCTTGGAAACCTTATGGGGCAGTTTTAGTCTTTCCTCTTGGGTCACTATAGGGTTTGGGCATGTTGCCAGGAAGAACCTGTCCTTGAAGAAAGACAGCATACTTGGAAGGGTGTAGGGACAATGCAACAGAGGAAAGAGAAGGACTGGTACAGTGACTGTGCCAGTGAGGATAGGTGTGTCAGAGACAGTGAGATTGGCTCAGGATAGGGCAGAGTTCAGAGCCATTGTTCACAGGGTCCCTACAAGTTAGACTCAATGACAGTGGGGCTTTTTTGTTTTATCATGAACCTAAAATATAAATTTAAGACTGAAATATAGTCTCTATTACACTTATAAACAAGCATTTTCTTCATTCAAATTCTCATGCCTGTTTTATGCTTATAAACTGGCATGAAATTTTGAAATTGTAGTAATTAAGGACAGATTTAGACAGGGCCATCTGTAAATTGTTAGATTTGTGAATGTTGGAGTTTTCAGACAATATTATATATGTTTGGTTTAAATAAATGGGTATTTGTTATTTTGTCAGGTACATCCTTTAAATATAATGTAAAATTTGGCTTTGATCACCATCAAATTAAAATTGTGTTATGAAGAAGATACT